GGGGGCCTCGGCAGCACCTTTCCCCAGCTGCCGGCCGGCCCCGCCCGGCAGGGCCTTTCCCCCCCCACACCCCGAGCTGCTCTCCAGACCCCAGAGTCAAACCGCTGGGGGGTGGTTACGTTAATAGTCTTGATTTTACATGCCTCTATTTTCCCTTTGCAATGCTTGAAGTATTTGGCCTCTGTGACCTTGGTGCCAAGGGCCGACCCGTGTTTTCACGGGCTCTGCCTGCACACCCAAACCAGAAAACTGGAAATCTCTCACTGGGGAAATGACTGAGCAGACGCAAAAATGTTCTAACCACAGATTAACTTGAAAGGCTTGGCCACTACGACAGTCTAACGCAAACCCCATCGTGGCCTGGGTTTCCCTTGTCCTTACCTTTGTTACTTCACATCATGCCTCCCTCTTCCACGCCGCATCTTCGTTACTGGTGGTAATCCATAATCCCTTTTCTCTGGAGCTCAGAAACCGGGTGAGGTCCAGGCCTCCTCAATGCCTTCTCCCAGCTTTCTCTCCACCACATACCAGCCGCACCTCTCCTGGTGCTTCTGAATGCTCTGGCTGCTCAGCATTTGGGGAGCTCTCTGTATCTGTACAAAATGCAACCCCATCAGTTTAGCAGCATCTTGCCCTGATGTAAAAGGCTCTATGAGGTTCTGGGTAATTTTGGCAGATGGGAGAGCTCCTCACCTTTAATGTTATGCTTTAAAATGCCCGTCACTTCACCTGACAGGCCAATCCTCCCTTGGAAAATGATCAGCAAATAGAGAAAGTGCTGCAACTGTAGGGCTACTGCTGCAGAGCAGCTGTGCAATTAGCACGGGCATTATAAGTGATTGCTTAATTTTACACCCGTATAAAATTTGTCAAAAAACATTTGAATAGAGGGTTTTATATCAGGGATATTTTGTAACAGAGCAGTTCCTTGGCAAAGCTATTTCCCTTCCTTAGAAACCTCACTGGGAAGGAACCTGCGAACATCTTTATGTATTTTGAACATTCCAGTGCTCAGTTCTGTAAGATTCTGACCAATTTCAGTTTGGAATATAGCTGGGAATTTTTAGAACTTTTCCCCCATATGTCTTAAAATATACATATCCTTAATGAAAAAAAAAGAAAGGTCGTAGGAGTAACTTTCATTCATAGTGGCACACAGTGAATCAGAACAGAAATGAATGTCTGAACAGCTGGGATTCCCTGAACAGAAATGCTACTTCCCCTACAGGGGAAAAAAACCCTACACAAACCCCAACAAAAAAACCCCAAACCTAGCCTTCCATACATCCTACTCTTTTCAGAGCTCTTACAATTTGATTTGTCTCTCATAGGATTAAATCCATGCTCTAACTTTGCTGAGAGTGAAGATAACTTAGTAAACAAAGATATTAGTACCTTTCTAGGTTAGCCTGCATTATACATCTGTATTGCATCTTCCTATTGAAAGGCAAGTTAAAGAGTGTGGCTAAAGTCACTCTGTTATAGTCTTCAGATATGATGATATAGCGCTATTTTACCAAACCAGGACATCATCAATTCACCATTCATTCAGTATCTTTTCCTCAGGCCTTACAGTTTGCAGAAGGTTAATAGTGTGGCACTCAAAATCTCTAGTCCTAGAGGAAATGTGACTTGGTGTCATGAACAGGAGGCCTCATGCAGCCCATTTATCTCATCATTGCACAACCCCAAACAGCCATCACGTCTGTTCCTCTTTCTTCCTTTCCTAGTCCAGCTACATGGGTGACTGTTCTAGTTGTACTAGTTAGAAGGTACATCGTGTTATCATTATGTCTCAGTCACAAAAGCAGATCCTTGCTAAGGTTTTTGTCAGGATTCACTCAGTCCTGGCCTGCAGAGGAACTTCACACGGGTCTCTTTGTCATCAGATTCCCTCTCTGCCACAGAGTAAGAAGGGCCATGAAAGCCCTCATCTTTAAGATTTGTACTCCAGTGGTGTGAGGTCTTGGCAACTCCTAACCTGGGTCATTAAGTGCACTTTTTAATGACCAAAAAGGCAAAAATTAAGTTAATATTCATTACTACTGCTTTAATTATATCAAACTAATTGTAACCAAAAAGTTCGGACGGGGTGAAGACGTCTAATTTTTTCTCTTCTTCCAGTTTACCATTAGATGGCAGTGAAGAGCTCCCTCTCAAAGCTGCCGCAAGCTCGGGCTGCGCTCAGAAGAGGCTTTGCCCAAACACAGATTGGTCATACATGTATCTGGGGAGGGTGTTCTTTAAGCTGCTTTCGGGTGATTTGAAGCTTCTTATTTGTTTGTTTATTTATTTATTTATTTATTTATTTATTTATCTATCTATTTATTTATTTATTGTTTTTTATATCATATGACACCTCAGCAACATACAGTAAAAAGTTTCAGCTTTGGTCTATGTATCGTTTTGAAGTTTGGGTGAGAAATTAGTTTGACCAAGATGTATTCTTCTTCCCATGGCTATTCTCATAGAATTGTTTGGTGGGGTTTTTTTTTTGGTTTTTTTTTTCCAGTGGAGTCATCTCCTGTCTAGGAAGGGTAATTCCTCTCTTGCTTATGGTTTTCATTTAGTTTATTTCAATATACTCCCTATGGTATTCTTTCCCAAGGAGATTAATCTTTTAGTTCTGATAGCTGAGAGAGAAAATTCTTAATAGCTTTTGAGCTGTATGTTGTAATCTGAAATCGGGAATTCCTTCCCCACTGCCTAGGGTTTTTTGTTACCTTTATTTTCCTGCCAGGTTGGCCAAGTGACAGGAGTAGATCTGCTGACATTTGCTGCATCTCAAAGTCAAGAGCACCATGTTGCCATTCTAGCCCCGTGAGTAGCTCTGACTAACATTCTGCAATGCACATCCCACCAGATTACTTGTCACTGCAGATTTAACTTCAGCATTACCTTGTTGGAACCACACACCTTTTAAATTACACGGCTTATTTCAAGGTTTACTGCGAAGGTGACTGGACGGTGTTCTGTGCATATTTAAACACAGTGTCCCTGTGTGAGCATCACCTTTAAGTCTGTGCATATTCATTTGAATAATGAGCTAAAGCTCCCTGACTGCTAATTCACCTCTTCCAGTGGCACACCTATTGTAACTGTTTAGATGCTCTTTTTTCTTAGTCCACAGTCTGGAGGCAATTTCTCTAGCTTGTTACTTGCAACCAACCTGTGACCAAATAATCCTACCACCTTTTTCTCTAAAGCCTGTCTCTGAAAACTAATCTTCCATGCAGCAGAAGCTCCTTTTCTAGCCCTGCCAGTGTTGCCTTTCTAGTTGGCACACTGCTCTAAACTGGCTTTCCTTTCTCACACATTTACCTATATCATCTACTGTGCCATTTTTACTATGAAGTGTTGGGTTTATTCTCTTTAGGATGCCTTTAATGTCTCCAGCCCTCATATACACTGAAACTTGTCTCTGTCTCTCTCTACATGCAACTCTTTGTGTTGCCATTTTATCTCTTACAATAAAAACCACATTATGAACTTCTGTCCACGTCTTCCTGCAGCCACATTGGTGTCCTGCATAGAGAATCCTTTTACAGAAGTGAGCGAGGTCTCACAAAGCACCTTTGCTTGCTTGCAGCCTATTTATTCCTTGAAAATTAATCTTAGATATTATAGGTGAATGAGTTTCAGGTATTTTTTTTATATTTCTTTAAGTGATGGAGATATAGGCACTTGCTAAAGTAATTACCCACACACACACACACTTCTTTTCACTACCTGACTAATTTGGCTTTTGTCTGCCTATTCTCTTTTATAGTAAAAGGCCACACTGAGCCATAATGAGAAAGAAAATGGAGGTGGGCAGTGCAGACTGCTCTGGTCAGCACGGAAGAAGCTGATAGAGGCCACCCTACTAAGTCAGAGCATGGCAACCCACTTAAACCAGAAATACATAGCTGCCTTGCCAGCGAAAATCAGTGTTACATCAGTGGTTAAGTGAACGGGAGGAAACCAGTGAGTAAGTTCTTTCCGTCAGCCTGGTATTCAATCCACCTACTCGGAGATTAAAGGCTCTGCAGTTTCACTGCTATTTCTTCAAGTCCCAAATTTGGTGAGAGGCTTGCAATGAGATTTGTTTGTTTGTTTTTCTCTCACTTTCTTGATTGCCAGTTGCCTAAAACATGGTAATTCTTTATAGGAAAAGTTAATGTATGGTTTCCTAAGACAGGCTTTCAGACTTTCATTAATTCTGTAGTGAACATGCTCAGGTCCTGCTGGTTTTGGTTGCTGCTCTAGGATTTCTCTGGCTACTGGTAACAGTGGGTGGCAACTGCAATAAAAAGAAAAAGCAATCAATTAAGCATTTGTTATTTGAACCTTACTTATTAGCCATAAAGCTACACAATCCATGAGCAAATGTTAATTAGTTTGAATTATTTGTTTACTTCTGTGTTTCCTCTGTATTCTCAGATTAATGGCTTTACTATTTAGATTATAATGTTCTCTTCCCTAATTGATAGTAACTAATACAATGCGCATGCAAGTCTAATATAATTAATTTCCAGTGAGGAAATTTAGATTGTTCCTCCATCTGTGTACAATTAACGACCTCTCTTTTTTTACAAAATTATGTTTTGTGTCAGGTTTGCTTTTAAAAGCAGAGAAAAGGCTGTTCAAAGTACTTAGTTTCCACTGTGGCTAAGCGACAAAGTTGCCTTCCTTAGCATTTATAAACATTACTACATTAGGAAAGAAAAATTTATCTGCAGGTTTCAATGCATCTTTGATATGAAAGTGTCTAGCTTCAGAGGTATAAAAGATGTGTAAATCACATAGTAGGAAGACCTGGGATGATCTGTCTCCCGGGGAAGTGTGCCCTTGCAACACTTGCTATTTTAAGTCTGAATGTTCTCAT